AAACAATATATTCATGTTCGTTCTCGTATGATTTTATGTGATTACGTGAAATCGTTTTAATTGTTGCGAGCATGTTATTTGGTTTAAACGCGAGCATGCTAATTGATTTAAATTCGGTTAAATAAATTAGCATGTATGTTGTTTTTTAATTTCGCTGGAAGCGCAAAGGTACGCAATTAATTGTTTCAATTATCGGGCATGTGTTTATGTGTTTTAAATTTGTTTAAATCGCATAAAATTTTTGTTTTCCGCTGCGTACACGTGTCCGATACCCAACAACGTGTTCTATAATCGCAGGTATCTCAAGGTCATCAAGCTCGTGAGCTAGTGATCCACTCTGCTCTTCCAGCTCATCCTACATCAACTATCTAAGGTGATCTATTTCTAGCATCATCATTTTGGCGCCGTCTGTGGGAAGGCAAACATAATCACGTAGCGCGCACGATGACCTTGAGACATTTGCCCAGGGGGAGTGTGACACTGCTAACAACCTCCTACCCCGTGGAGGCTCTGGCTTGCCGCTTCCTCCTCTTCGTGCTCGGGATCCACCACGAGACCTTCCTCCGGTGTCCCACTAGATCCTCCAGGATTCACTTCTCCCACCCCTCGATCGGTTCAGACAACCGAGGAGGCCCTTCAACGCTAGCAAGGGTTATAGTCGCCCTGGGGGTTTATAGTGCCCCCAAAACACTTCGTTCGCCAAGGGTTATCGACTCCCTAAGGGTTTATAGTGCCCCCAAAATATTTCGTTCGCCAAGGGTTATCGACTCCCTCGGGGTTTACAGTGCCCCCAAAATATTTCGTTCGCCAAGGGTTATCGACTCCTTGGGGTTTACAGTGCCCCCAAAACATTTCGTTCGCCAAGGGTTATCGACTCCCTAGGGGTTTATAGTGCCCCCAAAATATTTCGTTCGCCAAGGGTTATCGACTCCCGGGATTTTATAGTGCCCCCAAAACATTTCATTCCCCAAGGTTTTGTGATCGCTTCATCCTAAAGTTCGGGGCTATCCCAACTGAAGGTTGAACATCTCAACCCAAAGGTTGTACATCACCCTTACCTTGCAACCTCAAGTGGGTTCACATCCCATCTCAAGCGCCGGATATGGTCTCCCTACTCAAAAAAAAAAAAAGAGAACACAATAGCACCGATCTACTCTCGACACGATCTGGTAACATTTTCGACTTGGCTCCCACATCGACTCGAGAGTGAGGGGCTTGCGAGACAACTCCCATGAGGAGCAAACTCGCTCGATCCTTCAAACCCGTTGCGAGACAACTCCCAGGAGGAGCCAACTCCATCGGTATTACGAACTTGCAGCGAGACAACTCCCACGAGGAGCCAACTCGCTCGGAACTACAACTCGCTGCGAGACAACTCCCATGAGGAGACCACTCGCTTCGTCCTACAACCAGTTGTGAGGCAACTCCCACGAGGAGCCAACTTGCTCGGTACTACAACCCGTAGCGAGACAAGTCCCACGAGGAGCCAACTCGCTCGGTACTACAACCCGCAGCGAGACAACTCCTACGAGGAGCCAACTTGCTAGGTACTACGAACCCGCAGCAAGACAACTCCCACGATGAGATAACTCGATCGGTGCTATAACCCGTTGCGAGACAACTTCCACGAGGAGCCAACTCCCTCGGTACTACGAACCCGCAGCGAGACAACTCCCACGAGGAGATAACTCGCTCGGTCCTATAACCCATTGCGAGGCAACTCCCACGAGGAGCCAACTCCCTCGGGTCTACGAACCCACAATGAGATAATTCCCACGAGGAAACCACTCGCTATGTCCTACACCCGTTGCGAGGCAACTCCCACGAGGAGCCAACTCGCTCGGTACTTCGAACCTGCAGCGAGACAACTCCCACGAGGAGCCAACTCGCTCGGTACTACAACCCGCAGCAAGACAACTCCCACGAGGAGCCAACTCGCTCGATAGTACAAATCGCTCAGAGCGACATCAATCTGCACACTTCTCAGTCGCGCGTTATCTAACGCTCCAACAACTTCGCTACGAGACAACTCCCACGAGGAAACAACTCGCAGGCAATTCACTACATAATCGCAAGCTCAAGTTAGCACGATTACAACCCTATAAACACTTAGAGATATTATGGGAATCTATATAGCCTGGCCAGCTTGATTACTCAAATTTATCTACTTGTTTTCGACTGGTCCTTCATTAAAACGTGGCCACGGTCCTAAAATACTTACGACCCACGAGGTCTAACAAGGGGCATGATCCCCATCAAAAAAAATCTTGAGAGCCTGATCCACTCGTCAAGTACATCCCGCACAAGGTTATATGTAAACACATACAAGCAACGCGTCAAACCATTTACAACGTCAATAAATAACAACTCCCACGAGGAGATAACTCGATCCGCGCTACCACATCGTCGTGTGATTACACCGACGACTCAAGTAACTTACATCGCGACAACTTGGTCGCGCTACGCACCAACGCGCCTTCACGCCCCTCCGACACACGCTCCAACGCGTTTTCGCACACCACCGACTACTTCAATTTTTACTCTCGACACGATCTGTCACCTATTTCAACATGGCCCCCACATCGACTCGAGAGTGGGGGCTTAATGATATGCCTAATTGGGCCCACCCAATGGGCTTACAATTTATTTACCTACTGGGCCACTAGCCCAATATTAAAGACCACTATCATCGAGGTCCAATCACCTTATTCAAATAAGGTTTGGGCCCAACAATCTCAACTAAGCTATAAATAAAGGTTTGAACTCATTCCTTAAGGTACGTCCTATTAACTGAGCAATACTATCAACTGTATTCTCTGGACTATATCCACTATCCACACGTTTGACTTGAGCGTCGGAGGGGTTTCCGCCGGATCAACCTCCGGCGTAGTTTACGTGTTCTATGATCGCAGGTATCTCAAGGTCATCAAGCTCGTGAGCTAGTGATCCACTATGCTCTTTTAGCTCATCCTACATCAACTATCTAAGATATATATATATATATATATATATATATATATATATATATATATAATTAATTTCTTAATATGTGGAAAATCATAAAAAGACTATATATAATATAGAATGGAGGGAATATATATCTGACACACCATTCCAATCATTGTGAATTGAAGCAATTTGTTTATCAAACATATTGTAATTGTAGAAATTGATTATATATGTCTCACAAACACGTGTTATATTTTTTTTCGTGGAAATAACTAAATAAGTGATCAACATGGTGTGTATGTAATATATCTGTATGTGTTATATGTGCGGATATTTTTTTCCCCAATCCCCTGATATCACAAGTATTTGATGGAATGATCTAAATTCGTGGTGACTCAACTACTCCGTTAGGGTAGTGGATTCGAACTTGGTGGCCATAAAGAACCAACCTTCATTAGTTTTGAAATTTCCACATTGTGGCTTCCACGAAGCGATCTAGGACCTTACACCAACTTACCATCCTCGAAACCAGTTGAGCTATACAAATACGGGCTACGTACCTTCGCATTTTTGTGTGTACAATACATGTTATTATTAGGCATAAGTTAAACAATGTCTGAAGTTAGTTAGAAAGACAAGGGACTTTTTCTTTAGCACATGGCTTTCAAGTCATTGCACAACATATTTTAAAAATTAGTAATCTAATTATAAAAATAAAAATATATTAAATTGTTATTTTATGTAAAAAAAAATGAAAAATAAATAAATAAAGTTAGATAAATAATAAATAAGAGTAAATTATAACCATCCCAGAAATATGATCAATTTACAGAAAAATCTCATGTTTGGATAGTTACAACTACTCCCAACTATGAATCTTCTTACACGTACACTCTTATGGTGTCAAATTCAACATATATTTTTTCGATTTTTTGGAATATATTTTTTAGTTTGTACTCGTTTTATAAAAAAATATAGTTTCTGGTGAACCATAATCTGATATTTACAAGCCAAAAACACATCTTATTATCATCTTGCTTTAAAATGTGGAGCTCAGATGAAATAAAAATAATACAAAATTGAGAATATTCCACATAATCTAGAAGGTTTTGGTAAATTTGACACTACAATGGTGAACGTGTAAAAAGATTAATAGTTAATGGATTGATTGTAATAATCGAAACAAGAGACGGTTTCTCGTAATTTGACCAAACCTCACAGGTGGTTGTAAATTGTAATTTCCCTTTTTAAAAATTAGTCAAACAAATTATAAATAAAAAATAAATAAATATTAAATTGCTATTTTATATAAAAAAAGACAAATAAATAAAGTTAAATAAATAATAATTAATGATAATTGATAAATAATGTTTAAAGCGTAACGATTAATTACCAATGCGAAACCTAACCCTCTTTTACCTCGCAACAAAAAACGCTTCTCTTCAGTTTCACTCCTCTGACTCGCAAGAGCAAGCAGGTACACCCACCCCCCACCCCCACCTTACCCTTACCACTAAACGCGTAAACGTAAACTCTGCTTTCTGATAAAATTCAATTGCACAAACATATACATGATCCATATTTACCTACATACATGCATTGGTTCGAATTATGATATGTAAG